TACATAACTGACTGCTTTGTGGCAGGATGGATCAGAGGCCACAGCTCTGCCTTATCAATATGTGATGCAGAAAATGCACTGAGGGAGTAGAAAAAATCCAATATGAAAATATCACTGCAAATGTGAGAGACTAGTCAGGTCTGTGCTCCTGTCTCTAAAAGAGCTGGTGTGAGACTGCATGTTACTGACAGATTTATTTTAGAAATGTTTTATATCCTGCTTTTAAAAGTGGAAAAAAAAAGCAAAAGTAGTACACTAAGCAGCTGCAGTTTGATTCTTGTAAGTAAAGTAAATATGCAGCACTGCAATACTGCCTCCTTGCATTTCAAGAAAGAAATTGCTTTATTGAATCAAGACGATGATCCATCTAGTCCAGTACCTCATCTTCAAATACTGGACCTTAATACAGCAACAGAAGAGGCAAGAAATATTCCACAGAGAGAGAGGCCAGCATACAACCAAGACTAAACATTTATCTATTTTTAGAGTGTTTGATATTTACTGACTCATTTATTAATATTTTGCTATTTATACAACCAGTTAAGTTTGTTGAACTGTGATTGTTTATTATTTACTTGTGAAGTTTGCCAGTGTAAAGCACCTTCTGCTGCATTAGCTTTGATTTGTAATAGAGGCATAGAAGAATACCAAACACCCAGGAGTCCAAAAAAAGCCATGTGTGCTTTCATCTGAGTGCTACCCTGTACCGTGGCTTTCCCCTTGACATTGTTAAAGGGATGCTCACAGCTGAGGCGGCTGTATACAATGCTGTCCTGGTGCCAAGAGACCTGTGTTCAAGCTTCCTATTACAAGATCAGCAAGATGTGAAGTGAGGCAACTAGAAAATGCAAGCTATGAACCTAGCACAGCTAAGGAGGTTTGCTAAACTTCAAAGATGAGGGGGGGAAAGCATTTCCTAACTTTTTACACATGCAATTATATAAATTATTCTTCCACACCACAAAACATACAGGATCCTCTCCTATAAGTGTTTAGCTACAGCCTAAGGATCAAATCCATACAAAGAATTTTCCAGTGCTACTTCAAGCAACAGCTTGAAGTGCATTCTACAAATCACTGTACCAATGTATTCAGATCTGTCTTTCTTCTGAGAAAAAGCTAAGAAAGCTTTTTTCAGTGACTTAATCTCTTCATCATTTTATCTAACTATTTTATCTAACTAGTGTCATGCCATACCTGGTAGTTAACTACTTTAATTAGTAAAGTGTAAGGTCTTTGCTTTCTCTTTTCTATCTCCAAAGTGTTTTTCAAAACACATGATATAAAAGAAGCTATATGAAGATGCCTTGAATTGTTTATCTTAAAAATGTGACTGTTCTGCACTAGTAGTATGAAAAGGTACATTAGCTGGCCATTATTATTTTGTTATCTCTTTTGATAAATAACTCACTACATATGGCAAACAAGAGTGGTTGCTTGGCTATATAAAGAAACAAAGCATAAATCCTTCCCAAGTTCTACAAGAGCAAAAGGAGATAGTTCTGTAGCTGTCACCATAAAAAATGAACAACATTACTGTTGATGTTTCCACATTCATTCCTATGTCTGGTGAATGTTATATATCTGAACTTAGTAATGAGGAGAAGTGTTGCAAAGTAAATATTAAGAGTTTATAAAACCAAATCAATGAGCCAAATTTTCTGTTGAAATAGCCCTAAGAGTGAACTTCTGTTTTTAAAAAATATTTCAAATGTGAAAGTGTGTACTTACAATGGACTCTGTGAAGCTGTGTATACTATGACACTGTTTTATCATGCTGAAAAAAAAAAAAAAGAAAACAAAGCACAAGCAAAATCCTTCTAAGTAATGAAGGATTAAATTCACACTCTTAAATTCAGTGATATAAGGATAATGGAGCAAATACTCCAGCTGGTTTAAAATGTCAGACCTGCAACTACTCCAAGAGAGGAATGAAAGTCTAAGTCAGCTGGTGATAACCCTCAACACAAAAATGATCATGAACAGGGACTGGTCAGTATTCAGTTCTGCTGGCATAGGACTCTTCTGTTACATTCATCCTTAGACAGCTCAAGGCCTTCAAAATTCAAAAGGTAAATGAAAAATATATTTTCCAATAAAAAGCTATTGCTACCTGAATTACTTGGACAGGCAATAGAAAAATGATGAAAGACATTTAAATGAGATGTTTAAATAGAGATTGAAAATATGAAACTCAACATTAACTAATTAGATTGTAGGGTCTTCCATTGCTTTAGCCTCTGTATTACCATGCAGTCTTTGTTTACTGCCATTTATCTTCTTTGTTTGATGACATTTGACTAATAAATACATTGATGAATTGCATCTGTAAATGCCATCCATACATCACAAAAATAGGATGTACTCAGTGCTTCTGGTACACTGATGCTAAAAGATCTTGTTTTATTTAAACTTTCAGTACTTAGCAAAGGAAATATTACTGCTCTGCTGGATAAATTTCCTGATTTTTATTTTAATTTTCAGTGAGCAGACAGCTGCAGAATAATGTGATTTAATGAAGCATTTCTAATAAAATCCTGCAGAAGATAAAACAGAGGCATACAACCGCTTGCTCACTGATAGTTGTATCATTTGGAATAATTTTTCAAGATGGTGATCACATTTCTGTGTAGATGAGTATTAGGTATTGTGATTTTCTGTCTTCCAAGTCAGTGATTCCCTTTAGTGAGATAACTAGTTAGCACTGTTGCATTACTTATTTATAGTAAACAAAACATACAACATAATCAATGAAACATCTTTCTAGTACATTATTTAGGTTTACACTGCTTGGTAAGTAGCAACACAGACAGCAATAAATTTTGGTGTGAAGATGCTCAGATATTAAAAACTTCGTGGTTACATTTTGCTTACCAAAAACATACTGCCTGTATTTGTAAAGATGTCCTTTATCAAGTCTGTCATCACCTGTCATGAAATCATGAAACTTCTTGGCTGCTACATTTTTCTCTGCCATAACAATTCAGTGTAAAGTATTATTTGCTTTATGTAAATCTAGACAGGGCTCAATGAATCATCACTTTGCAACCTGCCAGTAAAACAATCTCCAATATCCATCTGTACACACATCTATTTACTTTCATTCAGAACAAGTTTTTAATGTATTCCCCACCAGAATAATCAAGTGCACTACAGGCATCTGCACATAAAGCTGAGATCTCCCAGATCATAAGAGACAGGTAAAAAAGTTACCCCGCGTGTTCAATATGATTAAAGGTACTGGCAGCTTAGCCATCATTCTCTGACTAAAACAGCAAGACAGAATCAAGATTTTATCTCAGTCACCTACTATCATCAGTGTATCTAAAGTTAATACTACATTTTTGAGGGACCTTCTATGTACAAAAAAATATGCAGAACCAGTGAGTAGTAAATCTGATTTGCTGTATCAACTGAGCAAAGATTTCCACTGAAATTATGGTAGGTAATATACATTTATAAGAATAACTACTGGAAATTGGGATTATGTGAAACAAAACCCACATGGTTTTCAATACTGCTTCAGCAACATCATCTCTCTGAAATAAAATATTAATAGTGAAATTTATATGAATTACTTTACTACTGTTAATTATACACTCACAAAACAATTTAGGCATCAGTATGAGATGACAGCACAATTAATGTGCACAAGTATAATTGAACTTGTAATCTTTGCCACCTCTGATAAAAATATCTTAGTATGCTCTTTCCCAACTTCAACTAAGCTCTCCTCCTAGCATCAATGAACTACTATGTTTCAAGTGTGTACCCAATACTACAGGTAAGAATCTTAATTTCTCAATTTTACTTAAATTAGCCCATAAAGTAGCTTTAAAGTGTTAAACATATAGTAGGCTGAATGCTAAAGTCTGAGACTAGTTGGTAAGACAGAGAAACCAGATAACAATTATCATTTAGTCAATAGTAATTTAAATGTATCCACTGTGGTCCAAAGACCCTATGACCCGGAATCCTTTATGGGGTTTTCAGAGAAAGGAGTTGAGTAGGTTTATTATTTAAATTGACAGTTCTGCAGGAGTCAAAGCATGGTTCTTTAAATACTGAGCCAATGTCTACTGGGGGGAGGGTGGTAAAACTGAGGTATTTATAAAAAAAAATACTGGTAAGCTCCAAGCAAAAGCTGGAAAGGGAGAACTGTAGCTACACATATAATTTAAAATGCTTTAAGCAATCATTTAACTCCCGTAGGAATGAAATATACAGAACAGCCATGCGTAGCAACCCCTAACAGGGCAGTGCAAGCTCTCGCTCTTTATTCTTTGCATTGTATCCGATCCCACAGCTGCACAGGAATAAAGCAGGTTATTTTAAAACTTTCTCTACAAAAGCAACGTGGATATACAAGGTATGTTTCATAGTATATACGCACAACTTGGAGAGCACTACAGAGAAAAAGAGAAAAACGGAGCCATGAATCTTCCCTTTATGGCTTTTTTTTTTTTTTTCTTGTTTGTTTTGTTTTTAGAGGCCGCATAAAGCGACTATCCGCTCTTCCAGCCGTTCTCTCGAACGCGGCCGATAAAGCGTCCGGGCACAGTAATCCCCAAGTGCCCGAAGGTCCTGCGAGTTAGCGGCTACCCGTTCCATAAAAGTTGAAAACCGGGTGGGTTCCCCTGCTCCCCCCGCCTCCCTCTCGGCTCTGTTGAACTGTTCTTTTATGTAAAATGAAATAAAATTAAAAGGGAAAACAGAAGTCTTGAGAATCGCCCGCCGAAAGGCTGCAGCCGGCTGCTTCAGGTGCCCAGCAGAAGGACGGCAAAGCAGCTCTTCACATCCGGCTTCGTCCAACTTCAGGGCAGCGGGCGGGCGCAGCCCGCGGCAGCCGCTCCGCACACCTCACACCTGGCCCCGCCGCGGCCGCTGGCGCCCGCCGCCCGCGGGGTTTCCGCCTGCGAAGAGTATCACCCGGCGGCCCCACCAGCGCCCAGACAGACACACAGACAGACACACGAGCCTGGAGCGCTACGCTCACCTACCTGCAGTCCCGATTCTTGCTAGAAATGCCTAGCGATCGGCCGCCTCCCGTCCGGGGGGAGCTCCAGCCTTACCGCCCGGGCATCGCCGGCACACGCCCCGCGCCCCGCCAGCGCTCGGGGGCACGGAGCGGCGCCGTGCCGCGTCCGCTCGGCTCCCCTCGGCAGCAGCCGCCCGCGGGGCCCGGCTCTCACACCCCGCCTCTCTGGGAATACACCAGGAATTCGGCTAAGAGATGCTAGAGGAAGGGTGAAGTAACTGGGAATTGAGAGAAGACTTGAAGTGTTTCTTATGCACGATTTCAGAGTATCGAGAAAAAAAAATAGAGAGGACGAAGTATGGTTGATCTATTGGAACAGCGGAGATGGGTAAGTCCTGCAGCCCAGACGGCTTCGGCCCCTACGCCAGCTGCGCCTGGTTCCGATTCAGCCCCGCCGGCAGAGGAAGGAGGAGAAGCCGGCGCGTCCTGCAGCAGTCCCTCCGTTAGAGCATCTCTGATTGGTGTGCCTTCCACACACAGCACGACTTCCCCCTCCTGCTGCCTCCTTCTCTCTCGGGAAAAGTAATTGGAGAGCGCGAGGTTCACCTTCAGCAGCAGCAGCCTCCGCGCCCAGCGTGCGCGCACCGCTCCGCGGAAGGGCGCGGAGACACCCCGGGCACCCGGACAGACAGGCAGTTCCAAGCGCGCCCTCCGCGGCGGGGAGGAGGGAGGAGGTGGAGGGAGAGACGCCCTTCTCCTCCCCCGTATTTATCCGGCCACTCGCGACTCTCCTCCCCAGCCCTTACGAGGGAGCAAGTCCCAGCGGCCGGTTCTGTCTGACCGAGCAGCGGGGCTCAGCCGGCAGCGCCTGCCGCCGCCGCCCGCGCACACTGGGGCTGGGGCCGCCTCCCTCCGCCGCCCGCTCCGCAGCGCAGCTCTCCCTTCTCTCCTCTCCGCTCCGAGCGGCGGGGCGGGGGTGCGAAGTTTACGCCCAGAGGCGCATGTGGCCGGGGAGATGCCCGCGGACCCCCGGCGGCCGCGCCGCCGCTCCCCCGGGACCCCTCTGCCCCTGCGGTGGGAGGCTGGGGCGCCGGGCGGGAGCGAGCAGCCGGGCGGGGCAGGGTAGGGCCGGGCAGGGCAGCTGCCCCGGGGAAAGGGGGCCGTGGCTGCCAGAGCAGGGGCAGGAGGGATGCGGCGGCGCCGGCGGCAGCCAAAAACTGGACTGTGTCTCCCTCCAGAGGGAGAAGGGAGTCGCGCACGGCAGCTCCGGGAGAGCCGAGGACTCGGCCGGGCCCCTCTTCCCTGCGCGGTGGGGTGGCGAGCTTGGTCCGTGTACCTGCGCTCCAGAGGTAGTGAGTAAAGGTAGTACGGGGTCAGGTCCTAACGACCTCTTGTTTCTCTTAAGACAGCTTTAAAGACATGTGGCGGGTCGTGGTCGTCTGCCACGACTATTGATTAATAAGGGGAAGTATTGCTGAGTGAAGATAATTAAAAGCAGAATATTCTAGTTTATTTTGCTGTGTTCTGTGCTATTCAAAAGGTGTTGCAGAGAAGTAGAGGGGACACAGCTAATAAAGGTGAGAAAGAAACCTTGTTTGTTACAGTGGTATCAGAGTCAAGTTCTCAGTTTTGTCCTGTAATTCTGGTTCACCCCTAAATTAAATGGGGATGAATGCATGCAGCATTAAGAAGTACTGATATACCTGATCATCTGTTGGGTTTTATTTCAATTCTACAAGCTAGTATAATGGCCAGTTTTCAGAAAAGAACCTTCTGCTCAGTCATTAACTGTTACCACATCTTACCTGATGTTCATAATCAACTGTCAGAAACAGAAGAGGGAAGTGAAACAATCCTCTTCTTGTTATTGTTCATGCTAGTTCTTCCATGCAAACAAGCACATGTAGAATTTTTGAATTTTTTTTCCAAAAAATGAAAAAAACCTTTTCTAAAGATTCACACAGTCGAAAAAAGAAAAAAAAAAAAAAGAGGGCAAAATGAAGGCTTAATGTGGACTACTCTGCATGCAGTGATGCAGCTGTAGGATGAAATACAAAGAGGCTGGTATTGAAAGGGCAAGTTAAAAGTAGCCTGGTATGTGACTGTCACAAGCGCTGTTGCAGAAAGCACTGCAGTACATATACATGCCGGATGCTGACTGCAGCTGAATTAAAAGGCTGCTGGTTGTAAAGACAAATATGGTCTTGTCTCGTTCATTGGAAGCTGATACAATAACTTCAGAATTTTCTTATTGGGTAATCACATTTCTAGATTTTAGCAGACAGCTAAAAAAAAATTTAGAGGCAACTGGAAAAAGCCAAGATTGTGCTGCTATTGGCACCACAATATTATTTCAGGAAAAGAGACAGATCCAGACTAAAGTCGATCCACAGGGGTTGGATGCTCCTGCCCCACCAATTCCAAATGACATGAGGTCCTGAATACATGGTGGAAAGGATAATCTTTCCAGCTCCCTGCCTCAGTGTAGGACCATAAGTATTGCTACTCCATTAAAAGCAGTGAAAGCCCACCAAAAATACAACTAGAGCAACTAAAATGCAACTACAGCAGCTGTTGCACTGTATATGTGGCAAACACCCTGTTGCTATAGGAGCACATATGTTTATTTTACCTGCTTGTATCATTACACTCAAGCTGACTGCATGTTGTAAGACCAGAGGACACTTGGTAGTTTCATGTTGGTGTCCGGCTGTTGCAGAAAACTGGTAAATACATCTGAAGACACAGAGTACTTATCACCATGTTGAAACAAACAAGTCCCATGCAAACAAGTAAAGAAAAAGTAGCAAAGCAGTAAGCTGACTTGTTTTGAAACCCCAGAATTTTGCCAGTGAAAACACTAAAATTGTAGTCTTTGTTTATGTCATAATGCTGCTGCACATGAGCATTTCCAAATCTGTTTGTATAACATCTGAAAATCTGAACAAATCCGCAGTGCTCACACACAGGTTGTGTGACACCATGCATATGAAATCATGTCCTGAAAGACATGCTTTCAGAAAGCTTCTCTGCTTTTGCAGTATGCTCAACACTCCTGGGAAGAACTGAAACGATCTGTTGCACCTATAGAATGCAGCTGGTTTTACAGATGCTTACTTGGTTAAGTCTGACTCATCTCCAAAGGTGCCTTTGTACATGCTGCACAGGTACAATATGATAAATTTACCAAATTCTGGATACACCAGATTGGCAGTCTTAATCTTACACACCCTGTATTTATATCTTTCTGACTGAAAAATCCCCAGCTGAATACCATGGCCTTAGAACACAATGTAGTTATGAACAATTATTACATAAATGTTCTATCTTTATTACTTCAGCTAGTTTCATTTTTGAGTTAGTGTCATTGTTTCTTACTTTTCATCAATTTGTATGTCTCTTCCACCTGATAAAAGACAAGCATAAAACATGGAAATGGGCACTGGCATATGCAACAGGTGTAGTATTTGGAGAAACTTCAGCATTTCCATTTCAAGGTGAATATCACTGCATAAAAATCAGGAAAGTAAAAACTTGTTTCTGACTAGTTGTATGTGGATCTGGTGTGTATATCTTTTAAACACTAATTTTACTCAGAAGCATGCATATTCTGGGCTGCTAAATAGAAAAAAAAAAGAAATTTTATATTTTAATAGCCACGTGTAGATTTAGTCTCTAAGAATTGACAGCAATGTCAGTACTGTTCATTAAGATCTACCAACAGTTTTGCTCCTTTATCTTTCTGAATAGACTCCTCCCCTCCCACTACTCACCATGCTACTAATCTAAACTAGTTTAAAGTGCCAGTTTAAACACTGCTTTTCCTTTTAGCAGTTAGGTTCTTGGTTTCTCATTTTGTACCTAAAGATTAGGATTTTGGTCGGTTTTTCCAACTATCTTAATATTAAACTTCACATACTAAAATAAGCAGCAGCTCAGACCACAGTGCTCACTGGGAATACCTTGGTGTAAGGAGATATATAGACATAGAGCCTGATGTACAGCAGCATCCTGAAGCATTCCTTTATTGCCATCCCATAAAGCTGGGGAAGAGGAAGCAAGGATCTCAAATGTCAGCTGCTGTAAACTATTTGTGGTTGTCATCCTGACACTGTGTGAGCTGAGGCAATCCAACAGGGCCTACAAGTCCCCTTTATAATATGTGTACAGATACACAAACAGACAATTATGTTTTTATCCCAGGTGAGAATCTGGTCCACCAAATTTAAGTCCTTTAAAAGCTCTGCAACATTCCAGATGTTAACATACAAAAATAAAAGTAATTGACTCCTGAAAAGCTGATGGAAATGAAAAGGCGATGGAGCAAAGTTATTCTGGGGTTCTTTAATAAGTTTCCCACAGGCATTTACTAAAATCATGCTGGGTATTTCATTTTGAAGAAAAAGAGGTTTTTAACTAGCATGCTGGAATGATCATTGATCTTAGAAAGCTTTCACAAAAAATGGAAAAACTGACTGCAAAACAATAACAAGTAACCAGTCTTTATTTTCTACATCATTTAAGTTATAGAGATAAACACTATGGTTTGGGGGTTTTACCATTTAAATCCATTCTTCTAAGATATAAATCACATGTATGCTTATGTATGCTAACATAAATGTTGCTTACAGAGTGCTGACATCTTCCAGAATGGGGAAAAACAAAAACAATAACAACAAAAACAAAGAAAAAGGAAAAGGTAAGAAAAACAACCCACAGGAACATGTAGATTCACGGTAATTTTGGGAGCGAGACTTTGTTGCTTTCATTCAAGAGGAGAGAAGGCTGGGAATCAGAGAGAAGATGGATCGAAAGGGATTTCTGCACTTCTGGTTGGGCTGAAGATCCCAATCTCAGTCATGCATGGGCTGACTTCAAAGTTAAATCAGGTTGCTTAGGGCTGTGTCCAGTGGTTTCAGATACCTCCAAGGACACAGATTATGCCTACCACTCTGTTTGTCCCTTTTCCAGCCTTTGACCTCCCTTACTGAAAAGGTTTTCATTCCTTACATCCAACCAAATGTCTCTGAATTTCTCTTTCTGGCTTTTGTGTCTGTTGCCTCAACCCTTTGCTATGTACTTCCAAGAAGCCTCTGGTTCCATTTTCCCTGTAACCATCCATATGCAGTGGAGTACGGCAGTTATTTCTCCCCTTTCCCTTCTTTAAAGGGCCTGAGCAAACACATCTACCAATTTTCTCATATGTCATGCCTTCACCACTGCTAGGACACATGGCTGACTCCTGTTCATCTTGTTCACCAGCATTTCCAGGCATTTTTCTGCAAGAATGTTTGCTAGATAGTGCCCCACTAGTACTGCTGCATGGGTTTATTCTGTCCCAGATGCTGAACTTGCATTTGTCTTTGAACATTATGAGGTTTCTGTGAGTTCAATTCTCCAGCCTGTTTTCAGCCTTCTGAGCAGCAGCCTCGCCCTTCAGTATATTGACAACTCCCAGCATCTTGGTATCACCTGCTGGGAGAGTTTGCCACTGTCATCCAGAATGTTGGTGAGGACTGTCAGCAGTTCAGCCCCAGTACTGAACATGGGGAAATGCCACTAGTGACCAGCCACTGGTCTTCAAGCCTTGCAGTTCCATCAATCTGCACCCATTTTTTAAACTACCTATCCAGCCTAGGTCTGCCCAGTTTGGCTATAAGGATGTTGTAATACACCATGTCAAAAGCCTAACTAGTCAGGATAAACACACACTGCTCTTCCCCAGACAGACAGCCATTTCATTGTAGAAGGCAATTATGTTGGTCAGGCAAAATTTGCCTCTACTAAATCCACACTGACTATTCCAAATCACCTCCTTGCCCTTCATGCATATGGAAATTACTTCCAGAAGCATTTTCTCTATAAACTTCCTGCAAAATAACCTGTAGTTCCCCACATCCTTCTTCTTGACTTATTGAAATTGAATATATTTACTATTTCCCT